TTATTATAAAATATTTTCAGTCGCATTCAGTCGCAATTTATTAGTGGTCCACGAATTATGAAATTAGCTGTAAATAAAAAATTAATTTTTTACATAAAACTAATGATTCTACTCAATCTGGTCAGTCCGGTCTAAACTGATTCTAATCTTATATTTAAAAAAAAAAAAAATATCAGAATTTAGAAAATTTTAAACAAACGAAAGAATAAAACAAAATAAGAAAATGAAACTGCCTTGGGATCCAGCCAAAGAACCCAAAAATCTAAAAAAAAAGGAAATTGGTTAATTAATAATCAAGCGAAAGAAAGAAGAACAAAACAAAAACAAACTTTTCACCTTGCATCTAGCCGAAGAGTTCAAAGATCTAAAAAAAAAGAAATTGGTAAATTAATAACTAAGCGAAGAACCCAAAGATCTAAAAAAAAAGGAAATTGGTTAATTAACAACCAAGCAAAAGAAGGAAGAACGAAATAAAGAAGAAAAGAAATAAAATAAAACTTACCATTTTGGATCCAGCCAAAATGTTGAAAAATCTAAAAAAAAGAAAGAAATTGGTTAATTAAATAACAAGTGAAAGGAGAATGAAGCAAAGAAGAAAAGAAACAAAACTTACTACTTTGGATCCAGCCGAAGTGTTAAAAATCTAAAATGATAAACTATAGATATAATAAATGTAATAAAATAAATACTGGTAATTTTAATTTTAATTTTTGAAATTACATAATTACATATCAGCACACCTAAAGATGGTACAGCAATTGATTTCAAATTTACAAAATGTTGCAACATAAGCTAAATTAGTTGTAACATATATAGGTTAAAACTAATTGCAACATAAGTTGCAACATTAAAAGTTGCAACATATTAATTACAGTTCCCATCTTTAAGCACACCTCTATACAATCACATCATAAGGCAATCCCGAAGAGTGTGATTGTAGAGAAGGTCGACTGTACATAATTACGTCATCATATGTTTATAATTTTACTAGAATTAAGAATTTAAGCTAAATTTTAACAAATTTTAATTTAACACAAAATTTAATATAATAATAACTTTCTGTAATAAGTAATATTGTAGAAAATTACCAAAACAAAATAAAATCTATCTAATAATCTAGACTAAATGTTAGCTACCTCCTGTTAATAGAATATGCAAACATTTCTATTCATTTATGTCGACTTATCATCATTAATTCTTTTCTTTAACCAAAAGAAACTAGCCCAATAACTACTAAAATCATCAAGAAAGAAAAAGAACATATCAGAACTGATTTAAAAATCTGTCTACTTATATTCATATGTAAGGGCAAGTTGAATCCATAGCAAGTGTTAGTTGGAGATATGTTATTATTATAAAACAAATGTTTACATTTCTTTTCATATTTTTCATGTCAGAAGCGATATGTTTTGATATTTCTTTGACATTCATAAGAAAGTAGTAATATGACTAAATTTCATTAAATAGTCACTCATAAAGAGTAATAATTGCTTTTGTAAGAATCCTATTTGTTTTTTAGACGATTGAATCAAGTTCGCGAGATCATCAAATAATGAAAAAGGTAATTTTCCTTGAATAATAGGTAGAAAAGAACTTATCTTGTCTATTGGGTATGCAAAGTATTTGTTAAGAGTAGATTCAAGGATGATAAGATTGAAGTAAAGAGAGAAAATGAATAGCATTTTGAAATCAAATTAACGATCTGAGACTTAATGTCAGAGATAATAATATTGATTTTTGATGAATAAGCATCATATAATCATAAATGATCAGCTGTATCAGTAATTAAATTACATCTAACGCAGTTTCAATTTTTATATAGATCTGGTCTCAGTTTCTCCAATTGAGATAATGTAGGCAATTCTCCTAAAAATATCTTCATTATAAAGAAACGAAGTTTTCATTGCTGAAAGAAAGTTGAGTTTGTAGCCTGATTTAACGTAAAGATAGACCAAATTGTAGTCTAATGAACTTTTGCCTGTCTTGTTAAGGATTTGAGGTCATCGTTTCTATGCAAGTCAATAATATTTGAGACTGCAGTAGCGGTGAAAATGCTTTAATAAAGTGTTTCACTGAGGATTCAATTATAATATTATTAAATTGAAATAAATACTTGATAGAAAGGACTTTTAGATAGTTGATTGTATTCCTGATTTGGCTAGATTATCAGCTATATTATTATAAATATCACCATTGTGTCATTTGACCTTAATGAGTATAACATTGAGGTTTAATTGATCCACAATATATTTGATAGTCTTCCAAAGAGTGTAATTAGACACTTTTGAACAGAAAAATTGTTATTAGAGATGTAAGAACTAAAGCCATGAATAGTAGTCATACTGTAAGTGTATAAAGTGACTTTGAATTGTCAAAAAGTAGACAATTACCGAATGTGTCAAATTAATGTAACGAACTGACTCCTCTAAATTTATTATTTTAAGCAAAAACATTATTGATGACAAGAATAATTTTGCTATTGTTCTTTTCTTTGAGAGTAAACTTGATATTACTAGCAATTGCAAAGAGAGTAGCTTTTGTAACTACTGTGAAATCTTTTAAGTCTTCTTCTATATCATTATCTTCAAGATATTCACTAGGGTCTAAAAGTTTGGACCTATTTTTAAATGATGAAGAGTTTTCAGAGATATTATTAACTTTCATATTATTATTATTGTTGTTATTTGAAGGCAGAATAATTGGTGAAATTTTGTTAATAGTGTCAATTTTAAAAACGTCAAAAACTTCAAAATCCATTTCTTTATTTGGTAATGAACCAAAAACTTCTTAGACTATTTCTAAATCAAGGTTAAAGAAGACGAAGGAGCTAGTGTAGAACTGGTAGCTTCCTTTGAAGCTTTAAAAGCAACGTATAGAACAAACTTGGGGTTACCATTTTTTTGTTTCGCAGCATTTTTACACATCATAACTCTCTTATGTAAGGTAAAAGATTGGGTAAAAAAAAAGAAACCTTCTTTATACTAGGTTTATTAATTAATTTTTTTGTTAAAAACGAACTTTTAAATTTTTTATTTTTTCTATGAAAATTTTGGTTTTGTAAAATAGGAAAGAGTTTTTTTTTTTGATGTGGCTCTGCTTTTTTCAATTACAATCAATCAATCTTTTTCCTTTATCTCTGCTTCACCTATGGAAACACCCTTATAATCATTCTTCTCACAAAAATTTGATTGGCGTGCAACTCAGTATCATTAATACAGTTACTATCAATCTCAAATCTGTTGTTAAAGATTTCTTGAATAACCACATTATTGGAAGAAAACACTCTCTTATCAAAAATTACAATTACATTATTTAGACCAATTAATTTCTTTTGATGATTGTCATCTCCTTAATTGGAAAGATGTTAAACATCATCTTCCTATATTATTATCCAAACTGTTAAATTAGATTCTTCTTTTCTAGATAGACTAATATTTAATCTCGTTGTTCAAAATCCTTTAGATAGATCTTTTAAATTAGAATTTAGATTAACTGATAATTATACTTTTAGTTTACTTTATGATCCAGATATAAATCCCTTTGATACTAGAAGAGAATATGTTATCTTCTGGAATCCGCACACTAATATCAATATTTATGAACAAGTTACTCAAAAGCACCATCATATAGAGATAGCTAATATTTACTACTTTAATTTAATTATAGATAATATAGGACTTAAAAGCCTCATTAAATGCCCTGGTTATTCTTTAAATAGTACAAAAAAAAAATGTATTTCTAAAGTTTCATTTCAAAACATTGTTAAATTAGATAAAATAGATATAATAGGAAAAAAACAACATCAGAAAGTTATGTTGAAAAACTTTTCTTGTTTGTCCTCATTTGAACTTGCATTTTGTGCAAAATAAAAAGCATCTTTGATAACCCTTTATTTCAGCAAAGTAGAATTACACCATCATTAATATCTCAACTCATTAACGAATCTCAATATATTGATCTTCTTTCTGAGATAGCTATTCTCTTTCCTCCTCTACTTTTCTATCTTTTATACAAATGGCTCATTGATTCATCCCACTACTGACCAATGTAAAATGGGAATAGGATGGATCTGTTTGAATTAACAACTCTCTTTTCATACCTTTATAATTAATTGGGTTTCATCAACTAGAGCCGAAATCTTTGCATTTCTCACAATATTGATTATTTCTCCTAATAATTTCAATGTAACTATCTACACTACAGTATAATTACAATACATAGATTTAACTCTTATATTATCAACTATTTTTTTATCTGAACATTTAAAAAAGTATCTAATTATACTCTTTGGAAAACAATCAAATATATTGTAGATCTACTTGATCTCAATATTACACTCATCAAAGTAAAAGAACATAGTGGCGAAATTTATAATAATATTACTGATGATCTTACCAGATTAGGAACATAATCACCAGTAATCTCCATCAACTACTTACAAGTTCCTTCTCTCAATTTATTATTTCAATTTGATAACATTATTATAAAATCCTCAGTAAGACACTTTATTAAAAACATTTTTGCTGTTGTTGCAATCTCTAATATTATTGCCTTGCACAGAAATGCTGATCTCAAAAGCTTAATACGATAGGTAAGAGTCTATTGAAACACTATATAGTCTATATTTACATTGGATCAGTCTACCTACTAAACTTCTTTCCAATAGAAAAAACTGTTCGTTCATAATGAAGATTTTTTTAGAAGAGCTATCCACTTTATCTCGTCTAGAAAAATTAAGACCAGCTCTTTACAAAAATTAGAACTGCGTGAGATGCAATTTAACTTCTAAAATAGCTGATTATTTATGATCATGTGATGTTTATTCATTAAAACTCATGACCATCATCTCTGACGTAAAGTCTCAGATTATAACCTTGATTTCAAAATGCTGTTCTCCTTCTCTTTTCACTTCAATCTCTTTACTGGTAGAGCTACTTCTAAATAAACATTTTACACATCCATCAAATAGAATTAGTTCCTTTCTACCTATTATTCAAGGAAAATTATCTTCTGTTTTATTTGATGATCTCACAAATCTGATTGGATCTTCTAAAAAAAACCAATAGGATTCTCACAACTGCAATTGTTGCTCTTTATGAGTGGTTATTTACTGAAATTTAGTCATATCGCTGCTCTCTTATAAATGCCAAAAAATATTCAAAACACATCATTTCTGACATGAAAACATGAAGAAGAAATGTAAACATTTGTCTTATGATAATTGCATAACACTGACTAATAATTAGAAGTTATAGATTCAACTTTTCTTACATATGAATATAAATATACAGATTTTTAAACCAGTTTTAACATGTTCTTTTTCTTTTCTTGATGATTTTATTAGTCATTAGGCTAGTTCCTAGGGTTCCTCAAAATCGAATTAAATCAAATATATAAGCAATTTGAATTTGATTTGATTTTTTCAAATCAAATCAAATCGAATCGAATTGAACTCAAATATTTGATCGAATCAATTTGAATCAATTTGAATTTGATCGAATCAAATC